AATTGCAGTGGTGGCACACAATGACCTTTTTTTCCCCCTTGCCTGCGCTTTGCTTATCGCTCTCTGCTCTGTTTGCTTATTCATCAGAAGAAGGAACCTCAAAAATTCTCTGGAGCTCCTCACAAGGACTGATCCTGGTGCAACAGGGTATGACGGGCTCCGTGCTGCCCATGGGATGCCCGATGACCGGTCACCCTGCAGCCCTGGGACAAGCCTGGAAGCATGCCCTGGGTTTCAGCCTGGGCCACTGGCTCAGCAGATGGAGCTCCTTCCCAAGGATGCGGGCAGAGCGGCTCTGCAGAGTGCAGCGGGATGCTGTGGCCACTACTTGCAGCTTGGAGCAGCACATGGACACTGTGCAGGCTCAGGAGTCAGAGAGAGCCCTGAAATGGGGAAAAAGTTGATTTTGCAGGTTTTTTTTCTGCTGGCTTGGGAAAGAGGAGTTTGTTCTTATAAGAGGATGGGAGTGGGACTTTACACTACCTGCTCCTATAACGATTAGGACTGAAAGACCTGTGCAGTAAACTCTGCGTTATTACCAGTACTGAGGAACTGGGATCCTCTTGATAAGGAAAAGGCCCAGGTAATATTTCTGCTCTAGACCTGAGCTGGATGTGCATGGCTCCAGGGGGCTTATATCACTGTCAGGCTTACATGGGGTTACCATCTTTGCAGCAGCACGTTGTACAGGCACAAGCCAGCAGAGTCTGTGCCAGCCACCTTCATACTGAGATGAGCTAAAAACCCTCCAGGCATCAGGAGCTGTGGGGAGCGGTGCAGAGACCTCCAAATCAGCACGGTTGCCAGAAACAACAGGGCAGTCTGGTCGGTGTGAGCTGGTGCAGGGCTCTGCATGCTGGTGGTGCATCCTTGCAGGATACAGCCACAAGGCTCCCAGCAGGTTGGACGATGTTGCTGAAATGGGGTTTAATATGAACCAAACTGCTGTTTCAGCCCAAGGACCCAGGCAAGATCCCCACGGGCCAAAGGTCATGGTCGTGTGGCCAGCTATCACTGTTGCTCTCGCTGGAGCTATCAGGAATTGCTCAAAGCCCAGAGCTTCAGGGAGAGGTGCACACAGTGCTGTGGCTAATGTCCTCCCTGCTTTGGGGCACAAGTGAACTTTGATTTTTTTTCTGGCTCTCACAGGAGCAGGATCACACACCGCTCTGTGGGAAGGACTCTGGTCACGTTCAGGGACATTGGTGCCCTTACCTGCACCACATGGACTGCAGAGCATCCTTGGCAATGTCACCTCACCCTCTGCATCCATCCCCCAGCCACTTCCCCCTTGCTTTAAGCCTGGTTGGCTTTGCAGCTAATCTGTGGCAGCTCATGCAATAACCTTGGCTCTCCCTCGCTCCCTCTCCTTGGCTGCAGCGATAGCAGATACCTCTTTTCTCATGTCATCTATACACACAGAAATAATGGTGAGCAAACCTCCCCTGGGTCCCTTTTAGCAATAAATCCCTCATATGACACCTGCATGTGCCAGGCTCCTATGGGAAATGAGGGCTTATGGGAACTGCTTTCTTCTTTGGGTGTGTTTTCTGCTAAAAAGGTGCCATTTGAAAGAGACTAAAAGGGTTCAGTAAATGATTAATCAGTTCTTGCAGAGTTTGACTGGGCAATAGTTTGTTTATGACCATGACTTATAGCTGCCTATGCCGCTTTCTTCTAGAACTTGTTATATACTCTCCCTACAAGCGCCTGACAGTGACTCCTAAGTGTTTGATAACCTGTTATAAAAGGAATCTTAATATAGAAAACTATACCTTTATTTAAAGTCAGAACTGTTTCCTGATGAATTGTTTGATGAGTGATGCTCTCCCTGCACCAGCAAGGCAGGTAAATGCACTGGAAGGGCAAAAGTCTGAGGATTGAGGTGTCACACAAATGGGACGTGGACCAAGGACTGACAAACTCATGCCACATGTGCCAAGAGATCGGGGGGACTGCTGGGGGATAGATTTGGGCTGGAGGAGGCTCTGAGAGGAGATGTACAATGGAGTTTAAGCCCATAGCTGCCCTTTCCAGCTGGCTGACATGTGTTTCATGACCTGCAACCCTTGCTTAGCTCCTGTTTAACTCTAAGAGGGTCTAAAGTCCCGGCTCATTTTCTGCCTGTCGTGGTGCTGGGTATGTCAATGTTTAATCTGTGCATGCTAAGGGCTGCGTAGATCCTCGGGGTGAGGAATCCTGTCTCTTTTCAGACGAAGGCCTGGGGGACTGATGGGGCTGTATATGTACCAGATCAGCATCTGATAAAGCAGCCCAAATACAGTACAATGATGCCGGCATCCCTCGGGCATCTGGCTTTTGGGGCACTCTGGGAGGATTCAGCCCATCCTTGCTTGGAAGCAGTTGTACTTTACCTGGCTTAATTAAGTATTCACTGGAGCTGAGAGGTGTTGCAAGGACCAGTTAAATATTCCTAGGGAAGTGCGGCTGGGATGCCATAACCCCATGGACGGAGCAAGGAAAAGGCTGGAACTGGGCTCTGGGTGACCAATGTGTGCCCCTTGGCAGCGCTCCTCATTGCCCCCGCGCAGAGCTCAGCCTGCTGGCTTGGCCAGCAGATATTTAATGATTTCATGAGACATAGGCCTTGAAGAACAGGAGTCTGCAGCTTCAGAGACTCCTTGCCCTGGTGGAATATATCCCACTTTCATCCTGCTCTGCCTCCAGATGTGCCAACACTTGCCCTTCCCACCGACCATCCACATGTCCCAGGCAGTACCTCTCCTCTGTGAGAGGCAAGGCTGGAGTACCAACACAGCATCCCATCACGTCATAGGAGGCAGGACAACCCAAAAGGCCCTGGGGACCCGACAGCTTGGCCCAGAGGCTCTGACTCCCTTGTATATTGCCTTTCTGCCACTGATCTTCTGCTCCTGGGGAAACCAAGGGATTTAAAGCAGTTGTCTGGGAGAGAAATCACTGCATTGAAAGCTGGGAAACTTCCCATACATCCTTTATTCTTGTTGGGATTTTGGAGTCCTTATGTCCCCATGGGGTTTTTTTAATATGTTGTTTAATATTGAAAAAAGAATAGAAAAAGCCGAAGTCCTGAAAAACTTGTTTTCCTCTCCTTTTCCCTTCCTTTCCTTTTTACCCTGGAAAATGGTGGGGCTCATCTTAAAGGCAAGTCCTGTATCCAGGCTGGCTGGGAGGGTGAAAGGAGGAAGGAAGAAGAGGAAAGCTCCGAGGGCGGTAACCAAGGACTCACCCAGAGCATAAAAACATCTTCAAAGCGAAGAGGTTGTTTTGCAAAAACACCAGGGTTTCGCTGGAAACCACCCGAGCTGGAGTCACAAAGCTGCATCAGGAGCTGGGCCAGCACCAGGGAGCCTGCCAGGTCTGAGCACTTTGGGGCTGGCAGAGTGCCCCAAGCACACATGTAACCCAACCTGCTCCCCAAAAACATCCCTGTCCCAGAATCACCGTCTCTTCAGGGCAGCAGTGACCTTCCTTCTCCCACCCCCTACCCCAGACAGGCCTCACTCAGGAAGGCTTTTATTCACTTTGGCTCTTTTTCACAGCAAAGCCTTGCTCACCCTGAGAGCGCATTACAAAAACTGAGTGAGCAGCTCATTCAGGTGGTTGGGAGGCTGCTGCGATTGATCCCAAATGCAGTGACCTCTGGTATTTTTAATGGCTCCTTGGGCAGCTTATCATCTCTGTATACTTAGATACTGATGTCATGGCAGTGTGGGTAAATACGCCTGGCATGTATTGCCAGGCAAGTCTTGGATAAGCAAGCTGGCTCTTTTTCCTCCTCTCCATACAGGCTGGTCCTGCAAATTTTCAACCTGTCAGACCACAGAGACCACAGGATGAGACCAGGGAAGCGGGGGGGCTGGTTGCACAGAGTCCCTTGCCTAGAGCCACCTGCCTCAGGGTTCCCTGCCTGTCTTTTTTTGCTGGCAGTGGATGCTCTTTCAGATGCTGCAAGCTGCACTGCACTGGCTGGCTTGGTGATACTTGCTGCAGCTGGGACATGCGTCATCTTCTTGTGCATTTCTCAGCAAAACAAGATTTTAATGTTGTCCTCATCTAGTTAAACTTCAGTTTAATACCCCTATCCCCAGACTCTGTGTGTAATATCTTCCACCCCCTCTGCACTGTAGCATCGTGCCTGACATAAGCATGGGACTCACAGAAACTGAATTAGGATAGAATATGGAGAAGCAGATGCAAGGAAACATCCTCTTTTTCCCCTGCCCAGGCAAGAGGGGCTGTGCCTGGGTGACTTCTCCAGGACAGGCAGCTGAAGGGCTCTGCCCAGCCACCCTGGAGCAGTGCAGCGCTGGCTACAAAGCATGTGCGTCCCCTTGTCCCTGTGTCCCCATGCAGCTCGGGGAAAGAGCAAAGTCCAGGGAGATAACACATCACTCGCCAGATGCATCCCCGGGGGGTGGTGGGGAATGGCAAGCAGAGGCTGAACACTTCAGCACAGCATTTCTCTGCCTGCATTTGATGCAGAGAAGTTGAAGACAGCTGGTAAAGTCCAGCAGGGTGTATAGTTAGTGTAAAAACAGACCAGCTTGTGATGTCCATCTTGTACGCTCAGGTACCAGCCCCTATCCCTGGCCCCATTCTCCTCCAGGCTCTGGTCTGACTTTCATCCCCTTGCCCTTGCTCTGCAGGACGCAGAGCTGCAGCCAAGAGAGGGTCATGGGAATCCTGGCACAGCCCTGCTCCAAAAAAGCTCAGCCCAGCTGGCAGTGAACGGGCTGCCGCCGCACAGAGCACGGCAAGCCAGAGCCGCAGAGTCGGGGACGCTGCCGAGCTGCAAGCGGGAGGAGAGGAGTGACCACCATTATCAAGATTTAATTGTTCTTTTGTGTGTTCATAACACTCTGTTTCAGGAAATAACACTGCAGATGTGAGTGGCCAGGCTTTGGAAAAGAGTCTCTGATCCCCTTCATGCAGCATCTTGGATTTTATGTCCACCAGTTGGAAAAAAATTCAGCAGCAAACTTTCTAACCAAGGAGACATGGACAGTCAGATTACCCACCGTGCAGAAAAACATGGAAACGCTCAAAAGGGGGGTGCCAAAAAACACTATTTGCCTGAAAACATCACACCAGTGAAGCAGAAGCCCTCCAAGGAGCTGAGGCCCATGCTCGGGGCCATCTTGCTGGGCCTCATCCTGTTCATTGCTGCAGTGGTGGCCTGGTGCTACTACACAGTGTCCCTGCGGAAGGCGGAGCGGCTCAAGACGGAGTTGATGGACCTGCGGGCAGACGGCTTCGTCATCAGGAACCAGCACGGGGAGGTGGTGTTCCGTCTGGCCTTCCGCTCGGGCAGCCTTGACCTGGAGTCGTGTTCCAAGGAGGGCGAGATTTTGGGCTGCACGCGGTCGGGCGGGGGGCCGCTCAACTTCTTCATCCAGACGGTGAAGCCCAAGGACACGGTGATGTGCTACCGCGTGCGCTGGGAGGAGCTGGCGGCCGGCCCGGCGGTGGAGCACACCATGTTCTGGGAGGACGCCCACTGGTACGGGGGCTCGGAGATGAGCACCCAGCACTGGCCCATCCGCCTGGCCGGCTACCAGGAGCCCGTGCCCTACGTGACGAGTGACGTCTACTCCTTCCGCGACAGCTTTGGAGGCATCCTTGAACGCTACTGGCTCTCCTCCAAGGCGGCGGCCATCAAGATCAACGACTCTGTGCCCTTCCACCTGGGCTTCAATGCCACCGAGCGCGCCCTCTTCTTCCAGGCCCGCTACAAGGACTCACCCTACAAGCCCCCACCGGGGCAGCCGCCCTTCCCCGAGCTCAGCTACCGAGTCTGTGTGGGCTCCGATGTCACCTCCATCCACAAGTACATGGTGCGCAGGTACTTCAACAAGCCCTCCAAGATCCCTGCGGAGAACGCCTTCCGATACCCAATCTGGTCCACCTGGGCCCTCTACAAGAACAATATTGACCAGGATAAACTTTTGCGATTTGCTGAAAAGATCAAGAAGTACCGTTTTAACTGCAGCCATATTGAAATCGATGACATGTACACACAAGCCTATGGGGACTTTGACTTTGACCCCATTAAGTTCCCCAACGTAACAGAGATGTTTGCAAAACTGAGGGAAGATGGGTTTAAGGTCACCCTCTGGGTTCATCCCTTTGTACACATAGATTCCTCCAATTTTGAAGTGGGAATCAAGCGTCAGCTGTTCATCAAGGAGCCATCGGGGCGGCTGCCAGCCATGGTGGAGTGGTGGAACGGCATCGGGGCCATCCTGGACTTCACCAACCCAGCAGCCCGAGACTGGTTCCAGAGCCACCTGCGCCAGCTCCGACACAAGTATGGCATCTCGTCCTTCAAGTTCGATGCGGGTGAGACCAGCTACCTGCCCAAGCAGTTCAGCACCTTCCGCCCACTCTCAGACCCCAGCATCTGGTCACGGCGCTACACGGAGATGGCCATCCCCTTCTACGAGCTGGCTGAGGTGCGGGTGGGCTACCAGTCGCAGAACATCTCCTGCTTCTTCCGTATCATTGACCGTGACTCTGTCTGGGGCTACGAGCTCGGCCTCAAGTCCCTCATCCCCACTGTGCTCACCATCAGCATGCTGGGGTACCCATTTATACTGCCTGATATGATTGGAGGAAACTTCCTCCCCAACAAGACCGATGGGGCAGTGGAGATCCCTGACCGGGAGTTGTACGTGCGGTGGCTGGAGCTGTCGGCTTTCATGCCCTCCATGCAGTTCTCCATCCCGCCCTGGCTCTACGACAAGGAGGTGGTGGAGATTGCACAGAAGTTCACGGAGCTTCACGAGTCACTGGTGGCCCCGCTGCTGCTGGAGCTGGCTGGGGAGGTCACCGACACAGGCGACCCCATCATCCGTCCCATCTGGTGGATCTCACCCCATGATGAGGCTGCTCACAGGATCGACTCCCAGTTCCTCATTGGGGACACCCTCATGGTGGCCCCCGTCCTGGAGATGGGCAAGCAGGAGCGTGATGTCTACCTGCCGGCGGGCAAGTGGCGCAGCTACAAGGGGGAGTTGTTTGAGAAGACCCCGGTGCTGCTGACGGACTATCCTGTTGACCTGGACGAAGTTGCCTATTTCCTCTGGGTTTCCTAACAGGCTCCTCCATCAGCTATGCAATGGTCTCAAGGATTAATGAACCAATGACTTGAATGACCTAGGAATTTGAATAGTTTTTAGAGTAGAAATACTTCAGTATGAAATTTGAAGAAAACACTGTGACGTCTGTTTTGTGTAGCAAGTGCTGTAGAATAACTTACTTATTAAAATATATTGGATGGCTGTCTTTGTTACTGCAGTATGACAAATGGAATCTATAGAAACACAGTGTCTGCTTGTAATCTTTTCTCAGGAAGAAATGCCATGCACGCTTCTGGTTCATAAAGGAAATTTCATGGACTCCTTTATTACCCAGTTTCACAGCTGATCCCTTGAGATATTTATAATTTTATTTACTCAGTGAAGGAGACAGTTGGAGCAGAGTACTTTTTTTACAAAAAGCAGTCTGTGATTATCCTCAAGAGGAAAGCATCCAGTTTTCAGCCTGCACATCTGATGGATGCTTATGCAGGAGTAAGGGAAGTTTGCGTTTCCCACAGCCTGAGCTATCTGAGCAAGCAGAGAGAAGCTATAGCACTTGCTAATGGTGTCGCAACCATTTTCCCCCCTTTTATTGGAAGAAATTATTGAGAACCACGTCTGTGGTGTGGATTCAGCCAAGCTTGTAAGTACGTGGTAAAATTTCATGGCAGTCAAGACTAAAACCTAGCACCAAGTCATACATGGGTTAGGACCTAATAGGACCCATGTGTGTTTTGGGACCACATTTAGAGCCAAAGTGTGCAATCCTTCAGGTCCCAGGAGAGGACTCGGCCGTCAGAAGGGCAATGAAGCTGGTGAGGGGTCTGGACAACAAGTCTTATGAGGAACAACTGAGGGAACTGGGGTTGTTTAGCGTGGAGGAGTCTGAGGGGAGACCTTATTGCACACTACAACTACCTGAAAGGAGGTTGTAGAGAGGTGTGGGTTGGTCTCTTCTCCCTAGTGACCAGCGACAGGATGAGAGGAAATGGGTTCAAGTTATGCCAGGTGAGGTTTAGATTGGATACTAGGAAACATTTTTTCACTGAAAGGGTTATTAAACATTGGAATAGGCTGCCCAGGGAGGTGGTGGATTCGCCATGCCTGGAGGTGTTTAAAAAAGGGTAGATGTGGTACCTGGGGACATGGTTTAGAGGTGGTTTTGTCAGGTTAGGTTAATGGTTGGAGGTGATAATCTTAAAGGTCTGTTCCAACCCCAACAACTCTATGATTCTATGATCATCTGGAGAAATCTCAGACAATTAGCAAACAAGCCCGAAGTGCTCGCCTGTCACAGTTTTCCCATGGAAAATGTTCTCCCATGCCACCTGCTGAGTTGATGGAGATCCTTGTCCATGAGCCACCATCCTTCTACCCATGGAGGTGACTTCTCCTGGGTGAAGGCCTCTCAGCAGCACCTGCAGGCTTGGGGTAAGCAGGCTGGCTGTGAAATGCTTTTCACTCTTGGTCCAATCTTCCCTGGTTTTAAGCACAGAGAAGTTTAAAGGTGACATGACTGAGCTGTTTAGGAGAGTCCTGGGGTCTCTGAGCTGCAAAGCCCCTTCCCAAAGTGAGAGACTGATTCCTCTGCTGGCCTCAGCATGCTGCTAGTAGGCATCTGCTAGGTAAAGCTGTGTGTGGCCCCAAAGCATGAGAAAGCTTCTTTCTTCAGGGGTTTTCCCCAGAGCTGGTCTATGTAAAAAGTAAACAGGGGATGAAGAACATCACACTCACTCCAGATCTGGTTTGGTGCTCAGATGAAGCAGCCCCAAAACCAGCTCAGACCCCTGTCACTCATCAGCGATGCTAAAAGGAGCCTGCATGGTCACAGTGGCACAAGAGCAGTGCCAACTGTGATAACCCAGAACACCTTCCAGATGCCCCTGAAAGCAGCTCGAGCCACAGCAATGCTATTGCTGGTGTGGCAATGGGGAGGGAAAACCCTGCTTTAATGCAGGGATGCGAAAGGGAAAGCAATGCTCAGTCTGGCAGTGGTGTTCAGCATTAACAGTCCATCTCTAGGTACTTACCATGGGCTTTCTCCTACTCCAGCATAGTGGTTTCCACTGATGTATCTCCCCTGAGGATGACAAAGCATTTCTGAATTCTTTCTCTCTCAGTTGCTGCTTTGAAGCCCCGACGGCGATGCCTGACAGCTGGGCTTGGGGCAACCGGAGGGTCCCAGGGGGCCACAGCAAAATTCCTCTGGCTGCTGTCGCAGCAAGAAAAAAGGCTTTCTGTAAGGTTGATGCCCACGGTGCTGCGGACAGGTGGGAGACACAGGCTCCAGCCTCCTCATACCGCACCTCTACCCCTATAATCAGTGTGCTCTGCATGCACACACACGGCTCTGCCACCCGCCTGCATCACCGGCTGGGGGGAAAAAACAAAGCATCACTGAGACTTTCTGCAAACTCTGGGGATGATATGAGCTGCCTGGTCCCATTCGGCTGCAAAAAATCTCTCACCCAGATCCCCATGCCTTTCTGATCTTTCTCCCAGTGCCTTTCCCTGCTGCCCAGCTGAGCTGCGGGGAACCACAGGGGACCGGTGCTGCTGGAGGCATCCTGTGAGATAGCAGTGGCACAGCAGCCAGCTCTCCGCACCCTTCTGCCATGCCAGGGCATGGCTGCCAGAGGCACCTCTTGTTTACCTTGCTAAGCTTCAGTCTGGGTTGGTTTTTTTGCACTCCCAGTGCTGAGCAAAAGTTGTTTGCTGGAGGTACTGGTGCCATGGGACTCTCCTGCAGCCCATCGCTCACCACAGGCCGTCTATTTATTTGGAGGGGAGTTTATTGCCCTTAATCTTCCATGATCGCTGAGCTACAAACCACCCAGCCCTACTGGCAAAAAAATGATAATGAAATAAATAAAAATTCCTGCTTTTCTCTACTTGGCCTCTGGGATTTTGCATCAGCCCAGACCATCTTTATGGCTCTCCCACCGCAAGGCATCTGCAGGCTGGCAGCTCCCGCCTGGCATGGGACAAGCTGCGATTGAGGAGGTTGTTTTTTTTTTCCTGAGGCTGCCAGCCTGGCTGCGTGCCCGAAGGGGCTCTGCTGGTGTCAGCTTGTCCTTTCACCACGGTCCTCCCCAGCCTTGGGCTTTCCCTGCCTTCCTGTTGCTTTTTTCTTACTTTAAATAAAAGTTGTGATTTTTGGGCAGGAGGGTACACGCTCCCAGCTGGGATCTCATGGGTCAGCAGCCATCGCTCTGCTGTCACCCATAGGCACCGCCTTGAAATCTGGTTTGAAACGAATTGGGCTTTTGCTGTAGCCCCACTGGGGTTTGGACTTTGCCATTAACGCCCCTCCCTGTGCCATCAACAGCCAGCTTCACCCCTCTATGTGAGCATCAGCCGAGTGTATGGATGCCACTTGCACCCAAGGGAGAAGGCAAAGGAAAAGCATTAGGAAAATGTCCTTTATTGCAAAAGGAACAAATTGAAGTCCCTCTCTTCCGCCAAGCCGAGATGTGTGTGTTTTGGCCAGTGCTAGGGATGCCCGGGTGGCACAAGGCAGGCTGTGGTTTGTGCAGTAGCAGATGGAAAGGGCAGGAGAAACATAGTGTGGGGGGAAGGGGGTGGTGTGGGGCAAGGCAGGCTCCTGAACGAGTTTCACATGCTCCATTTCTGGTAACCCCATAGCCACAAACATCTGCTCTGTCCCCCTCTCATCCGTCAGCACCATCTGGAAAGGGGGACTGTGGGGACAGTGGGGACAGCCAAGGCCCAGGTGAACCTTCTGGAGTGCCCAAGGGAAGCCAGGAGAGGGGTCATCCTTCTTCCACACCTGCAAACAGTCCCAAAGCATGTGTCCTCCAAGAGCAGTGTGGAGCAGCAACCCCCCCCCCCGAGCTGGTGTTGATGGGCCTTTTTTGGGTGGATGTCAGCAGAAATAGGGGCGTGATTGTCTGGTCCCCACCCCCAGGGGTGGATGCAGCATTGAGGTTCACCTGGACACGGTCTTCTCCAGGCCAGCCCTAAGACACAGCCATTCCCTTTAACGGTGGGACCCAGGGGAGGGCAATCCATGACCCCCCACCAGTGGGTCATCTCCATATCCCCATCTCCTGCCACCACTGCAAAAGGAAGAGCAGGGGGGCTGCCAGCACCTCTCCGTAAAACATGCATCAAAGCTGCAGGCTGAAACCTTTAAATAAACCAACAATCTCAACTCTGACTTTGGTGAAGTCTGGATGAAGAAAGCCCCAAATCTGCCTGAAGCACCAGCCCCACATACTTGTTACAGACGGACACAGTTAAACTTCTTTTTGTTTTCCAAAATTTTATATCAATCAAGGAGATTCATGTTACAGTTCTGTTTTCATAACAATGAAGAATTAGAAAAGTGGTTAAAAACAAACCCACCAGCATTACAGTCCCATGTAGGACAGCATGTGCAAACACAAACATCCAGAAAACCCAACACACGACAGTGCAAGCTTCAAAATTCAGTCACATGGGCATCACGCTGCCCTGCTGCTCACCCACCATCTGCCATGGGCTGGGGTAGAAAAGACTGAACCCAACCCCGAAACCTCTTTTGGGGCTTTTCCTTGGCTGAGTCAAATTAAACTCTGTTTTGGCCAGTGACTCATGGTGTACATTGGAGAAATCTCCCTGGCTAGCAGTTCCCAAGGTGTCTGTGCACAGGGCGCTTGTAGTCTATGCGGTCCTAGAGGTCCTTGAGTCCTGCAGGGCTACAGCATAGTGTTAGAAATAGCATTTTTGGTAAAAAATTGGATGGAAAGGGAACCTAGAAGCCTTTGAGATAGCCTGAGGGAGCACTGCTGAGCCTGTCCCTGACAAGCGGGGAAGACTGGGTGCCATGGACTCACAGAGAGCTACCCATATGGACCTGCTCTTCAGCATCATCCCTTATGTCCTCCCAGGAGCTTTACCTTTCTCCTAGCTGGAGCACTGAATAGCCATTGCCACTTATGCCCTAAATACAGCATTTATAAAAATAAGGGCACTCTATAACCTTACTCATTTATTCATATAGTTAAATAAAA